GCTTGTTCAAACAGTAAAAGTCGTACACCAATGTCCTAAATAAGAAAATATTCGAAAACAAAAAACAACATATTTTATCATCGACTTAGTTAAATTATTTGAAGTGTCCAACGTTAAAACGATTTTGATAATTATTAAATTTTGGGTCCAATACATTTTTACTTGAGTAATTAAAATTGTAGGGCAATTGTCAGAATTCCGAATTTAATTTTATAAATGTATAGAACAAATTATATTTTACGACTAACAGAATACATTCCATCTCTTGTGGAATATTTTAAAATTAATAAAAATATTTGGATAATAATGTGGATAACCTAATTTTTTATTATAAATAAATCCTTTCGCCGGCCAGTATATAATTTCTAACATCTTAGATCAGTATTAACATTTTTCATCTGGAATTTCAAGCGTTTGGAAAATCTGATATACTAGGACGTGCCAAACGTGTCTATACTAAAAGGGCCGTAATTGATTAATATTTTTAAATAATAATTAATAATAATTTCAATAAATCATTAAACATTTTTTCAAAATCGTACAGTTGGAAATTATCTGTTTCAAAAAGTTCTATTTTGCCACTTATTTTCATTACAAATAAGCGAAATTAAAATATATCGACTAATTGATAAAACTGATAATTTTGATTAAATGTCCTTAAATAATATGAATAATTTACTAATATTTCATTATCACTTTTTCATCAAATCTTTGGTCCCATTACCGAACCCTACACATTGTTATCATAGGAATGAAGATACCGACACATTTGTGTCATATGATATGGCTAAATTATGTACTATGGCATTTGGTCACAAAAAAAAATTAGCGTTTGAATCTTTACTTATTATCAACCTGTCCGTTTGCTATGTCTTTGTAAAGATTTTTTATTTAAGATTGGCATTCGTTCAAATGTTACACAGTAACATCCCCACTAAATAAGTATTAAAAAAATACAGTAAAATATATACCTATCGGCATAGGAAAAAATTCATTTTCAAAACATTCAAATTTTCCAAAAAAAAAGTCTCTTACATACCTAACCTAATCTTGTATCACCTTGTATATATTTATTTTTAATTTTTTTCATAAGTTAATGGAATGTAACTATCACTGTATAATATTGAACAGTTATAGACTAGTTACTTACCTTTTCAATAAACTGTACTCGACGACGGCGGCATCTCAGATTATACTTGGTTTTGTAATAAGAGAACATTCAACATATTATATCGCAACTAGTTATTACATCTCCACGGATGATTTTGAGACATAATAATATTTCTCCTGAGATACTTATTAAGAAATTAAACGTTAGACCGACGGATTCTTTTCACGAAAACGACTATTACAAAAATCGTTTTTGGTGACTTAATAGGGACTAAATAAACGGTAATTGATTTACTTGAATGTTAAAACCAATAACCAAAAGTCACCATAGATAGGTATTAGCATTGAGCATAGTATAGTATTGTAATGTTGTTCATTAAACCTTAAAACAAAACTTTCATTTTTTTTATATTCACCGTTTAAGTTGGAAACCTTAGAAAGTAACCTAATTTGTATATAATTTAGTCCTTTCCGTTCTCATTGATGTATTCAATGAAAACAAGAAAAAAAAAATATAATAAATGAATATACAGAAAATTATTCAATAATATTTAAATATATATTAATTATAAAGCATAATATTACATTTATCGACGGGTATAAACGATGCTATTTATTAAAAAAAGGGGGTTGACTTCTGTTTTCAGGGAAATTCTTAGGGATTCGATATGACGAATCTAAAACTGACTTGATGTAATCTCGGTCGACATACTCCATCCATTCTTTGACCTTTTTGACGAAATGTGCAGCTATCCCATGATTTTCCTCTATAACGGTCGGAAAGTTGTCACTGTGATACATGAGTTGTAAGTCTTCTTTGGCTATCTCCCAAACCTTACAGCCTGGAAAATTCGAAGAGCTTTTTTCCAAATCGGTTTTAATATGATCGATAACATCATTGGTAGTTTCTGGCAAAGGTGTTTGGACTTGCAAGAAATGTAACGTTTTGACAAAGGTCTTGTCATCGTTCCAACCAGTTATGGCGACGAAAGAGTTGACCGTCTTGTACATTGCAGCGTTCAATACTATCCTGTTTTCGTCAGTAACCAGCAAAAAGTGAACGTATAACCTTCGCAAAATGATCATTTTCATCAGCGTCAAGAACAAGAATTGATACTTTTTTATGCCTTTCAACTCTTCGTACAGGTCCGTAGGGTCTGTGGCCTTCAGGTACGCATTCGAAAACACACTGGCCACGTCGTCGTCCCATTCGCCGAATTTGCCAAATTTTCTTACGATTAAATTAAAATCATAGTCGTCGGCATATACATTTCTATAACCGAAGAGGAAGTTTTCGGCATCGATCCGTGTGTAGGATTGGTTTACTGCGGTGGCCCTCTGCAAGTTCTCACGAATTCCGTCGAAATGTTTTTTTATCATGTAGGAAAAGTGTATAGGCCTCTTTAAGTTCCTATCAGTAATGACGAATTTGTTATCACCTGGACAGTCCTTCATGGACTTCGTCAGTTGATTGGTGATCATTTTGTGCACATCATTCATTTGTCCGACGTAAAATCTGTTATAATATTCGTGAATAAATTCAACGTACAAAAAGAACAGCAACAGCGAATAGACGGCCCGGCGGTCGTAGTTGGCGTTGATGTTGTAAAGTATTACCATAGCGTCTTTTGGAATTCCTTTAAACGTGTCGAACTTAAACTCGTTGGAGGTGCTCTCCTTCGTTATTTGCATAATCGACAGACATATCGTTTGAATTCCGCACAGTGTATTTACCTGGATCTGTTTCACTGTGTTCGCTAGATTCTGACTGGTGCTCGGTTCCGGATTCTTGTATCCCAGGTCCAAATAAACCAAAAAGTTGTCGTAGTCATCCTGAAACGATTTCCCTTTGCAAACCGGTTCGAAAGCCGCGTACACGTTCATAGTGTAAATGCAAAACAGCAATGCTGTCAATAGCAAGCCACGGTGATCCATCGGAAACTATAATATTTTATTCTAAACTGACGGAAAGCTTATAGTTTTCAATATTTTAAGAACTACCAAAGTCAACTCGGTCGCACAAATAAACCGTTACTGAGTTTTGGCCTTTTCGACTCGTTTTCCGTAAGCAACTACTTGAATTGAAGAACACAATTTCACAAAATAGCGAAAGACAAACATTAAAACAAATAATTATTCACGATTCGGCAGCGTATTTGTAGTTGTTTTAGGTGTTTTTGCGAAAGCGTAACAATAGTGTTCCACGCACATAGTTGTAGGACGGGAAGAGGGTTGGGGGGCTTTAGCTTTTCGGTTTTTCACTGCTTATCGAAAGCAAAGAAAGCAATGAATTCTAAAGAATATTGTCATACAACACTAGTTCGACTATTAAAAAAAAAAAGTTATAAAACGCAGTATTTTTAAGTTGAAATATAAAAAAAAACTTTTTGGATGGTTTTCTCGATTCTTAAGGGAAAGGGATGAACATTTTTAATTTGTGGCCTGCTCAAGAAACGATTTCATTGAAGTACGATTTCTGATCTATAGACTTGCTATAAGAAGAAGTCGGTTTTGCGATTTAGAAAATATCGTGGATTCAGGGGGTGTATTTTTGAACTATGATAAGCCATATTTAGAGGAAATGTATTAAAAATTGACTCATTTCTGCCATTGGGATTTTTATATTTGATGGTAACAGACCAACTGCTGCTAACTGCTAACGTCATGTAATTGTTAAATATGTAAAAAGTAACCGGTTTAAGATGTAAATTGTAGATGATAAATATATCATATAATTATTTTTTAAAACTTTTTTCTATACCTTGAAATTATTTTATAATATATTGTTGATTATCACAGACAGACACCGTATATACATGCGTATACTTAGGATAAGAAAGATATGAATGTTCTAACAACAACAAAATTATAAATGTATTAAAAAATAATTTTTAAAGAAAACAATACATATTAAATATTAAATACAGACAAATACACAACATTTCACAAAATAAAACAATTAATAAACACAACAACACAAGTAAATATTATACATTCTATTTAGTTTATCATAATTTCACATATTTTATCAACATAAAAAGTATACATTATATATCTGTAATAACTGTGAATAAGTGTGTAAGTAGTATGATACTTAAAAGTAATTTATTTCCTTAAAAAAAAAAAACATAACACAAAATAGAATTAGAAGTATTACATAAAAAACTCTAAAATGTAGTGTTTTTTATAACGGCCAAGCCATCGCTATCGGAAATTATGTAATTTAGCTGTAGTTTATTACACCAGCAGCTATACGTAATATTGTTTTTTTTGGGATTGCATGCGGTCTGGTTTTAAGAAGTTTTTTTAGTACAAAGTGTAACTTAACAATCGACGTGCTAATGAAATACTTCATAATTAATAACCGTAAAGAGATGAGCTCTTTATATTAATATTACTTGTCGTTAATAGCAAATGGTAGGCGTAGTAAATGGCGAAGAATTAACTAATGTCAAAAAGAATCATGGAGAGGCGGGGTTGTTGCGATGGAGGTCACGAATGACGTATATAAGGCCAAAAAAAAAAATACTAATTTTTTTGTTTTTTAGTTGAATTTTTAAAAAAACTTTATGCATATTTTTTATATATTAATAAAAGGTATTGTTTAATATTTGGTTGGTTTTAATTACAATTAAACCTCAACTATAATAAACACAATGAATAAAACTGATTTAATTAATGAATTTCACGTTAAAATTTAAAAAAACAAAACTCATACATTTATTCTGACGATAAAACTTCTAATAAAATGAATGCCGTTTGTAGAAATAGTGTATAACATTATACTGTCCTTAGTCTAGGGAGTAGCTTGTTGGTGTACGCTAAGAAAGTTTTTAACTTTTATTTTATAATAATCCTTTATAACGCTCGAAAATTGCGTGTAAATTACCGGTGTTTCAGTAGCAATGGAAACTAAAACGTTAATACTACCAACACTAAGCACAATCAATAAACTCTTTAGCGAGTTGGGTACTTCTGAGACACAAATGAATCTGGACGTGAAATTTCTCAAGGAGTGGATGCGAAAACAGCTCCACCTTCCGAACCCAGACGGTAAAATATAAAATTTTTATAATTAGATTTAATTTTTTTTCTTAGAAACCATTATTCTTGTAAAAATACTATGTTATTAATATTACTCAACAAACAATAAAATTAATTATTAGATGACGGAAAGATGATTGATGAAAAACGAATTAAAATGTTTTTGATCACGTGCAAGAATAGTTTGGAGAAAACCAAAGTAATGTTGGACCAGCATTACACTATAAAGCTATCAGTACCAGAATACTTCTCTAAATGGGATCCGTTTTTACCAGAGAATATTCAATCAATGAAACTATCGTCAGTATCTACATACATATTAAATATATACTTAGTTGCCCCTAATTATAGAACTGCTAATAATTGTTTTATATTTTTTAATTTATTTAAATTACAAATGAGCAAGATTAAATATTGACTATTACAACTATAAATTTATACAATTTATATTTTTATTGTCCCTTAATAATATTACTAATTTACTAATATTTTATTGTTAATTTTTTTTCAGTTCTTTCGTCCCCTTACCAAAACCTACACATGAGGGCCACAGAGTAAGCCTCTGTTATTTAAGAAATAAAGATCTCCATACATTTTTATGTCATGATTTTTTTAAAGTATGCATAATGACACATGATCTTAGAATAGCAAAATTGGACATCTATAATAAGGATATATTCATTATCGATTTGAAACATTTTTCCACGAATCACGTAACAGCATGTATACCGAATGTTAAGAAAATGTTTGAAAGTACACTTGTAAGTATTTGTTTAATATTAAAATTATTACTACTCTAATTGTTGTAGATGATATATCTATTATTCAAGATTCAAAAATAATTATAAAAAGCTACTAGGGGAATTTATAAAATATTAACCATTTTATAAACCCATTAAATCCAAACATATTTATCAGTAACATAAATAAAAACCACTACACATATAATAGAATATATTGAAAACTCATTTTTTCGGTAAGAACCATATAATTAATACACGTATAATTATTATTTCGTTTAGGCGTACCCATATCGGCTACATCAAGCTCACTTCATTAATACAAAAAGTTTCGTGCAACCATTAGTAAATATGATAACAAGTTTTCTGAGTACTAAAATTTCCTGCAGGGTAAATCATTCAAGTTTTAAAAGTTACTTACAAATATTACAATAAAGTATTTATATTATAGGTGATAAATCACAAATCCATTGAAGAATTGAAAAATTACATTGATCCTAGTATTCTTCCGCTTAATTACGGAGGAACTTATCCAAAGACGTCGGACGAAGTAACAGGTTGGTAGCCAGTCTTAATTATTACAAACAATTATACTGATATTGATAACTTGTAGGAAGGTATTCGTAATAGATCTATTATAATTGAATGTGGAAATCCGTATAGAAAAGCGTTCAAGTGATCTTAGGTGTTATTTCTACGCATGGTGTTTTGCATCATGTAATGATGAGATTCTCATTATCTATTTCCACGTGGATTACCTAGTCTGCGAATATTTGTTTAGTTTTACTTTTTAATGATAAAACTTTGCAATTGGGTCAGTAATTACGGTGCAGAAATTCGAAAAATGGTCAGAAGGTAATGTCGTTCAAACATTAAAAGTTACACATTACATTACATTAAATTACAAATTACACATTGCCTAACGTTGGGTAATAAATATTTACGGAAGCACTAGAATAGATTGGACTTTTTTTAAGGATATATGTTTAGCTGTTTTGAAGGAAACATTGAATATTATTCATAAATATGTTTTATAAAGTTGGTACTTAGTTTAAACTACTAATTGACTATTTAAACTAATAATATCTTAATATTTGTATTTATATATGGTAGAGTCTCGTGTTAAAAATTAATCATTTTTTACATAATTTTAAAAAATTTCACCTAGTATATGAATTTCAATGTACCCGAATTTCATTAATTAATCTATGTTTAATAATCTGTTTTGTATAATAACATTTATATTTTCATTGCAGACGACTGGCATAATGAGTTGATAAGGCACCGAGAATGGCTTATAACCCAATCATCAATTGTTGCAGATAATAGTAAACGCCCAAAAATGTCCAATAACAACTTGGATAATATTGAAAACGCAATCGAAGGTTCCTTTAGGAAACTAGAAGTCGATTAGTAATGATTCAAAATTCAGTTTATATATCTTTGCTAATTGTAATATCGTTTACTTAAATTAAAAATATATTTATGTAATACTATTTTTATTATTATTCTTGTCTAGTTATATGTGGTGCATAGATTTTTAGTAAAACAAATTTTGCGGTGTAAGATAAAATTAATTATTGATATTGTAATTAAAAATTTGGAAACAATATTTACACAAATTACTCTTTTGTAATATAACAAATGGTGGTGCCATTTGTTATATATATTTTTTTCTATTCGGCGAAAAAAGTTATTGTGCATTATGAGCTGAAACTATTATTTGGTGTTTTTATTGAAATTTAAGAAACAATGTTATTTCTATATAATTAAACAAATAATGGTACATTAGATATGTGAGTATACATTTTTCCCCTCTTAAATTCTTAAATATGTTCACAAGTTTATTATGGTTTTGTCTGTGTTCATTAAATGCAGTAACATATATTTAAAATACTTAAGAACAGTGTTTTATATGATAATTTTTGTTAACATTTTTTTTAAAAATACCTCTTCTATTGAAAATTAGGCTAATATATATTTTGTATTGATACCTTTATTATTTTTATTGTCAGCTTTAGTTTCGATACGGAGCTGAGAAGATATAGATTCTTAAATGATTTTTTTGTGTGTCTGTAGACACGATAATTTTTTTTCCTGTGGACCGAATTACTCGTGTAGTACCATTTTTGGATTCAACGAAACTTTTGTTCGTATATATATTTATTTTATAACATTTAGTTGTACCCATTAAAAGAACGTTTAGTCATTCAAAATCGTACTTTTGGAAATTATCTGCTTCAAAAGGTTTTTTTTTTAACTTATTTACATTACAAAATACAAAATTAAAATATATGGACTACTGCCACTATTAATTGATAAAATTGATATTTTTGATTAAATGTCCTTAAATACTATGAATAATTTACTAATATCTCATTATCATTTTTTCATCAGTTTTTCGGTCCCATTACCAAACCCTATACATAAGGCCCATAGAGTAAGTCTTTGTTATTATAGGAATGAAGATACCGATAAATTTGTATCATATGATATGGTTAAACTATGTACTATGGCATTTGATCGCGGAATGGTTAAGTTAGATACCTTTAATAAGAATATATTGATAGAATATGATTCGAACGATTTAATCTTCCAATAGAGCTTTTTGTTGGTATAGCACAAAGGAAAAAGAAAATATTTCAAACGCAACACTATACATAATAATAAGATACGGTTTTTGTGTACTCGAAACTAAGAATTTTTAAAGACCGTACTTGTTGTTGAGTTGTTTCGAACAGTTTTTTTTTGGCAAAACAACTACCTTGGCATTTTAATCGTAACGGCAAAAACGATAAAAACAAATAGTGTACTCACATTTTCAATAATACCATAACCTAAGTTCAATCAAAACATACCGACAAACGTTGGTATTTTTTGTACACTTTATGATATATTTTTTTATGTACATACGCTACATTTCAAGAAAGTACAATGTTATACACACATTTTTTTGTATAACTCTATTTTACCATCATATCGATAACTATTTTTCCATAGTATTGCCAACCAATATAAAATCGCCAAAAATATTACTTAAAATATTCGATAAAAACTGATATTCATACAATTTCATAATAAACGGAGGGTGTTCATACACGATTTTCAATTTTAGAAAAATAAATAATTTCAACTGATTCTAACATAAAAAAGTAAAAAAACTTAACCTTTCGATTTTTCATAAATGGCACTTAGTAATTGTTGGAATAATAGTTAATATTTTGTATAACAGGACATATAAGTAACATCCATAACATGTTGATTATCATTTTTTACTACCCAGTTATCGACTTAAAAATATGACGTGTTTGCTTTTTCATTTCAATTTTTTTCAACATTTTTACAACGTCTTTGGAAGACACGAGTTACACGTGGTCTCTATGGGAGATAAAGAAAATTAAATGCTATCCATCGAGATAAAGAATACACAAGTATTCTTTATCTCGATGATGCTATCTTAATATTTAATAACCCGAACAATGATAAAAATCGAGTTACGTCCTTCTTGTTGGACACGTCAGTATTTTACTATAGTTTCTAATACCTTCATTACCTCCATTACCTTCATCCCTACTAAGTAAAAGAATTATGGACTTCATTTTTTGATGAACGTGTTTTTATTTATAAATATTAAGACATATTTGTAAAAAAAAAATAAGCGTTTGAATATTTAATTATTATCAACCTGTCCGTTTGCTATGTCTTTGTAAAGATTTTTTATTTATGATTGATATTCGTTCGGTTATTACAACAGTAACATCCCCACTAGATAAGTATTAAAAAAATAACGTAAAATATAAACCTATAGAAAAATAACCTAAAGCATAGGAAAAAATTCATTTTCAAAATATTCATATTTTCCAAGAAAAAAAGTGTCTTACATTACCTTGTATATATTTATTTATGAATTTTATTCATAAGTAAATGAATTATAACTATTACTGTATAATATTATACAGTTGTAGACCGGTTACTTACCTTTTAAATAAACTGTACACTTGACGACGGCGGCACCTCAGATTATATTTGGTTCTTGTAATAAGAAAAGATATTATATCGCAACTAGTCATTTAATCTCCATGGATGCTTTTGAGACATAATAATATTTCTCCTGAGACATTTATTAAGAAATAAAACGTTAGACCGACGGATGCTTTTCACGAAAACGACTATTACAAAAATCGTTTTTGCTGACTTAATAGGGACTAAATAAACGGTAATTGATTTACTTGAATGTTAAAACCAATAACCAAAAGTCACCATAGATGGGTATTAGCATTGAGCATAATATAGTATTGTAATGATATTAGTTATACCTTAAAACAAAACTTTTATTTTTTTTTATATTTACCGTTTAAGTTAGAAACCTTAGAAAGTGGCCTAATTTGTATATAATTTAGTCCTTTCCGTTCTCATTGATGTATTCAATGAAAACAAGAACAAAAAATGTAATAAATAAATATACAGGAAAGTTTTCAACAATATTTAAATATATATTAATTATTAAGCATAATATTTCATTTATCGACGGGTATAAACGATGCTATTAATTAAAAAAAGGGAGTTGACTTCTGTTTTCAGGGAAATTCTTAGGGATTGCATATGACGAATCTAAAACTGACTTGATGAAATCTCGGTCGACATACTTCATCCATTCTTTGACCTTTTCGACGAAACGTGCAGCAAACCAATGATTTTCCTCTATAACGGTCGGAAATTCTTTCAACATCGTGTCATCGTCAAAGATTCGTTGTAAGTGTTCTTTGGCTATTATCCAAACTTTACAACCTGGAAAATTCGAAGAGCTTTTTTCCAAATCGGTTTTAATATGATCGATAACATCATTGGTAGTTTCTGGCAAAGGTCTTTGGACTTGCAAAAAAGTTAGCGTTTTGACAAAGGTCTCGTCATCGTTCCAACCAGTTATGGTGACGAAAGAGTTGACCGTCTTGTACATTGCAGCGTTCAATACTATCCTGTTTTCGTCAGTAACCAGCAAAAAGTGAATGCATACAATTCGCAATATGATCATTTTTATCAACGTCAAGAACAGGAATTGATACTCTTTTATGGCTTTCAACTCGTCGTACAGGTCCGTAGGGTCTCTGGCCTTCAGGTACGCATTCGAAAACACACTGGCCACGTCACCCCATTCGCCGAATTTGCCAAAATCACTTACGATTAAATTAAAATTATAATTGTCGTTATATATATTTTTATAACCGAAGAGAAAGTTGCTGGTATTGATCCATTTATAGGATCTGTTTACATTGGTGGCCCATTTTATGTTCACACGAATTCGGTTGAAGTGTTCTATTATCTTGTCGGAAAAACTTTCAGACGTCTCTGAACTAGTGTTGCTCCAGGAGAATTCGTTACCATCTGGACAATTCTCCATGGACTCCGTCAGTTGATTAGTGATCATATCGTGCACAAATAGCATTCGCATTTGTTGGACGTCAGAAGGGTTAGAATATTCGTGAATAAATTCAACGTACAAAACGAACAGCCACAGCGAATAGACGGCCCGGCGGTCGTATTCGGCGTTGATGTTGTAAAGTATTACCATAGCGTCTTTTGAAATGCCTTCGAATTTTTTGAACTTAAACGTGTAGAAGGCACGCAGTCTACTAATTTGCATAATCGACAGACATATCGTTTGAATTCCGCACAGTGTATTTACCTGGATCTGTTTCAATGTGTTCGCTAGATTCTGACTGGTGCTCGGTTTGGGATTATTGTATCCCAGGTCCAAATAAACCAAAAAGTTGTCGTAGTCATCCTGAAACGATTTCCCTTTGCACACCGGTTCGAAAGCCGCGTACACGTCCATAGTGTAAATGCAAAACAGCAATGTTGAAAATATCAAACCACGGTGATCCATCGGAAACGATTATATTTTATTCTCAACTGCTGAAAAGCTTATAGTTTTCAATATTTTAAGAACTACCAAAGTCAACTCGGTCGCACAAAACAACCGTTACTGAGTTTTGGCCTTTTCGTCTCGTTTTCCGTAAGCAACTACTTGAATTGAAGAACACAATTTCACAAAATAGCGAAAGACAAACATTAAAACAAATATTATTTACGATTCGGCAGCGTATTTGTAGTTGTTTTAGGTGTTTTTGTGAAAGCATTAATATTATTGCCAAAACGGAGAATACTAGTCATCTATGCACATAGTCGTAGGACGGGAAGAGGGCTGAGGGGCTTTAGCCGCTTAGAATTTTGAATTTTTTTCGGTTTGTCTACGCTCATCGGAAGCAAAGAAAGCAAATTCTAAAGAATATTTCTACAGCAATATTTCGATTATTTAAAAAAAAGCGCAGTAGATTTAAGTTGAAAAAAAACTTTTTGGATGGTTTTCTCAATTTATAAAGAAAAGGGATGAACTTGTTAAATTTTTGTCCCGCT